CCCAAATTCGTAGTCTGGCTTTTAGACACGTGTTCATTGGCCAATTTTAGATAACTTCTTTGCTAAAGTTTCACGTACATTGATATTTGTAATCATTCTACTTACGACCATAATCTTGTCCAAGTCATATAAATGTTAAAATGTTCTCCGCTTATAAAACAGTAATCTAAATCCAAGTTAGAATGTTCTCTCAAATACAAGGCATGAAAGACAAAAAAATGTTTAAAGAACAATTTGATACCAAAACATTTTTGTTTTTTATGAAAACCTATTTTTTCTTTCACCTTAAAATTCTGCCAAAAACCTGCATAAAACAAACTACCGGTATGAGACGAATATTTTTAATGATGCACCAGCATGGTCATTAAACTGCCATGATTTTTCGTACCTGGAAATAAGCAAACAGTAATACAGAAGAAGCAACCAAATATAATGTTGTTTTTTTTATTCTACAAGATATATAAAGTAACTAAAGACAATAATTGACAAGATTGTTCACTATTGAGCACAAGCAATGAATGTATAAACAATCCTTATTATAGAATTATTTCATGCAGAAACTTGAATACACACCTTTGGGGTTATTTTCGTAAAACCAGTTGACTCAGAGTGGTGGCTGAGAAGTATTCATATTTGTACTATCCCATACAATCTGACCATCAGTGTTCTAGCTGATCTTGTTGCTATATGCTAGTTGCTATAAGTATCAGAAATTTGCTTCTTACACTTGAATGAACAGGTAGCAGTGTAAGTAGTTTATAGTCTTCTAATATTATTTAATAAATTTGTGAAATGTTGTTGAATATGTAAATACTGTGCAGACCAATGCATATACTTTGCAGTGCGATGGTGACTAGGTGAAAAAATTCACAGAAAATTTTTATTTTGATAAATGTTTCAGGATTTCCTAGAGTTTCAAATCAAATATTCACCTGCTTATCAGTGACGTGATAGATACATAGTGATTTATTACACGACAAGCTATGAACAAGACAAAATTAAATGGCAGATTTGATGTGTATTTGATAAAAATAATATAAGACAACACATTGCATTGTCAGCAAATATCAGTTTAAAGTTTGTACTGCAATTTGTACTGTAAGCATAGTAGCTGTGCTGATTCCAGCGTAACATCTTGTACCGATATATATCAATAGACCAAAGGCGAAGTGTCATTCACAAGATACTGACCACAAGTATGGCCGTTATAGAAATAGTTGGGATTAACAACTTATACATGTACTAAGACAATCAGTAGAAGGATGCATTTACATAAACACAAAGGACTATGCATTGTCATGCAATTATTTTTAATACTCTTTTTAACTCGTACTACCAGTATTTCCGAACACTTTGAATACAATGCCCTTCCTAGATGAGTTGTGCTTAGCATGCTCACAAAGCAGAATTCAAAACAACAATGCATGAAGGATTTTATGAAGTGATGACAAATACTAACTTAGTCAATAAACAGTGCCATACATCAGCTTTCCATCAGTATAACTTGCATATGCCATAAATTTAAGATTTTTAGCCAAGTTTATACTCAGAACTGAAAAGTCTTTCAAATCAGTTTTGCAGACAAATACAACTATAAATTAGATCGCAGTGGAATGAATTGCACATAAAGTTGCGTGATAAGATTGTGATTATTTATTTAAGATGATCTGACAAGTACAGAATTCATGAAATCTGTACATTTGTATAAAGCCGAGCAAGAAGTGTGTCTTTCACCCGTTCATAATAAACGGTCATCACACAGCGCCATGTTCAATATGGGTCCCATGAGATAAGTCTAATGCAATTAACGTATATTGGGTCCATGAACAATGACTGTGCAAGCATAAAATACAGCATTTCTGAAAAAAAAAAAACACCTACCAACTTGGCTAAAGAGTGTACTCTGAACACACACACCCCTCTCTGGTATACCAAAAAAAACAACCATGAGTAGATTTTGGCAGTAATATGGTACATTCACAGATTTTCATGGTAAATTTAATAAGCACAATTTGATTCAAGTTCAACAATCTCTCTGGTTTGAAAAAGTATGGAAAAATGTAGATCAAATAAATAACTTATTTGTCATAATTTTCATGACATGAAAGTCAGCCGCAAATGTGCTCTCACATAAATAACATAAAACACACAAAAATATAATTGTAAACATTCCTTCTTCCCTTCTACCTACATGTATACCACAATACACCATCCAAGTCTGTACTGATATTCTAACAAAGAATTATTCAAGGGTCATTTGCTCCAGTAATTTTACAGAAAACACTTCAAATTGAAGATTCACAAATGTAGAAATCTCTTCTTGCTCTGATATTGTACTTAAAATGGAAGCCCATTAACAATTATGTCATTTAAATGTATCTCAGACATCACAAACTTGAGATATATATATATCAGTAAAAAAATCAGTTTTAACAATATATATTTGTATAATACCTATACCACAATGCAATAGTTCCCTTATCAATATTTCGAGAATACTGTAGAATACTTTATTTTCGCTTGGAATTTATTTTCGCTATTTCCGCTGAAGGGATGATTCCGTGAAAATAAAATCCTGCGAATATACTTTTTTTCCTATATTTCACATTAAACTCATCAAAAATCAGTCAAAATAAATTCCATACAAAATGCAAAAAGTCTTTTCAGCGAAAATTAATTCCAGCGAAAATAAAGTATTCCACAGTATACATTACTTTTTTATATTAAAATTTACGAGTAAGGCTTTAACACAATAGTTCAAAATATTCAGCAAAATAAAAGATATTTTCCAATAAAAGCTTTCTATTTTTTCATTGTACTTGTCTTGTACTTGTGAACTAAGGCAATGTTGACTGGTCACTGATCATGAGGGTAAATAACTTTTAACCATGGCCTTGCTAAAAATTGTGAGCCATCAAAACCTTCAAAGTAATTTTCAATCTCTGGGTGGATAATCTGAAAAACAAAAATATAAATCTCGGTAAGTAAGGACACAAATGGTATATGCCTCAGGGCAGATTACCACACCGTGATATTATTTGTGGCCAAACTGAAATAGACAGAAAATAATAATAATGCATTAAAGTAAACATTGTAAATATTATTGTCTGCATCCACTACGATTGAATAAATTTCACGAAACATTTTAAAATATTGCATACTATGACCTTTGACAGTTACATTGCAACCCAGGTGCACTATAACCTTTGACACAGTTACATTGTATCTCATTCACACTTTGACAGTTACATTGCATCCCATGCACACTATGACCTTTGACTCAGTTACATTGCATTCCAGGTGCACTATGACCTTTACCACAGTTACATTGCCTCACAGGTGCACTACAACCTTAGACACAGTTACATTGCATCCCATGCACACTATGACCTTTGACACAGTTACATTCCATACTATGTGCACTATAACCTTTGACACAGTTTATAAATCACATTCCAGGTGCACTATGACCTTTGACACAGTTACACTGCATCACAGGTGCAATATGACCTTTGACACAGTTGTATTGCGTACTAGGTGCACTATGACGTTTGACCAGTTACATTGCATCTGGGGTGCACTGTGATCTTTGACAGTTACATTGCATCTGGGGTGACCTTTGACATAGTTCCTCACAGCTGATACATACCTTAGTGTTGGTGATAATTTCAATGTTTTCTTCTGGAATATATGTTAACTGTGGCACAGCTCTGTCTCTGGTGTCGACTAATATTGCATAATTTGGATGATTTCTCCAGTACTACAACCAATCAGAACAGACAAACAATGTAAACAAATGCAACAAAGTGAAGGTACAGACAATCCAAATATATTGTTGATGCTGGTTTCGAGTCGTTGTCTGAAATGCACGGTTTCATAAACATGATGCAAATATAGGCCCCCATGAGCTGTGTTTCTACCAAGGGAACACCTGAAGGTCCATAGTGAAATGATCGCTAAGTATAAATTTTTTTTTAATTTTCCTCATTCTACCATATAAGGAAAGGAGAATTCCAAATATGAAATGATTACGCACATAAGCGTCCTCTAATTATAAAAACAAACATGGCTGCCATCGGGGTTTGACCAGACTTCATACAAAGATGTTAGCTGATTCTGTTCTAAACTTTTTGGATTTCGGCATTCCCATGATGTATGATTGGAAAGAAAAGATGTACACCGCTATATTCCGCTGCGTTTCTGACGATACTCCAGCACCGTCTTTGTGCATACTTTGAGGCATTCTCGTAATAACCTCATATTACCAGTATATAATTTGCTTTTATCTGGCCGTGGCCATTGCTGACTTACTTTCAGGTTCACTGCTATGATGCGATATGTACAATTTGCCGCCAATACTTGGTGGCGATATCACAGTGGTGGGCAATACCACAGCAATGGGCAATATAACAGTGGTGGGCAATATCACAGCAATGGGCAATATAACAGTGGTGAGCAATATTATAGTAGTGGGTGATAACACATTAATGGACAATATTGCAATGCAGGGAAGTACAACCAGTGTTACATGATATATGCAACATTCACAGCATTTATCTCTGACACAAATTAAAATATGTATGTATGCATGAACTCACTGGTTTGTCTTTTGGATGCATCTGTTTTAACCATTCCTCTGGTGCCTGCAACAAGAAATTATTATAATTCAGAAGGAAAACCTTTGCAGCTACAATTGGCAAATCAGTACTGTTTTATTATAAATACCTTACATAATTAACTAGTATAATTGCAATAAAATCTGATTCTATTTTTAAAAGCATGAAAATATATTTAAAAAATATAAATATTGTAAACACTGAATATAAAAGCCAACTGACATGCTGTATCTAGAATTCACATGGAAGGACATACAGAAAGTTTCTTTTTTTTTCATACTTATTTTTAGCGTTTCATATTTACTCATATTAATTTGTTAATAATTATGTTTAAAATTAATTAAAAAAATTGTGGTCAGTTCAAAAGTGATCACTCATATTTTATTTTCTAGAACCTGTTTGTAAAAATGAAAGGCAACAAGTCATTGTCAATGACACGTCCCCGTTCCGTTCATATTTGAGTGACATATACATTCAAAGCAGATCATGACCGAAATGCACCTGCATATGTACAACACATTGTGCTAAATCTGAACAAAATCCATCCATGCATGACTGAGATCCGGTTCTGGAATTGTGAAAATACGTGATTTTGATGCATTTTCGGCCTTAAAATGGCCATCATTCCGCTATTGTTAAGCAGATCATGAAACAAATGCACATATCTAATTGTGACATGATGTACCATGTATGTGTGAAGTTTGAACTTGATCAATCCAGACATGTCTTGGATACGGATCCAGAACTGAATTCTTTAACAAAATGGCCGCCAGTCGGCCATTTCGAACTTGATCCGAAAAAAAAGACGTGCATCAAGGTCCTATTATGTTTAATGTATGTACCAAATTTGAACAAAATCCATCCATGCATAACTGAGATACGGGTCCGGAATGGTGAAAATGTGCGATTTCAATGCATTTTCGGCCTTAAAGCGGCCCCCATTTGGCTATCGTTAATGAGATCATGAAACAAATGCACATACATATTTGTGACATGATGTACCTTGTGTGTGTGAAGTTTGAACTTGATCAATCCAGACATGTCTCGGATACGGATCCAGAACTGAATTCTTTAAAACAAAATGGCCACCAGTCGGCTATTTCGAACTTGATCCGAAAAAAAAA